TATTGATCATAGAGTAATTGTTTTATCTAGAATTGTGTTACTTTCTGATAATAACGATTAGATTGGATTTCAACCAGAATTATTTGAAAATTAGTTCGAATAACGATTTTATTTCATTTGACCTAGAATTACGTTACCCTTTGATCGAAAAGTGGCACAATTCAGAATATAAAGATGCACGTGTATTTCTTGATGAAATTATCAGATGTATAAAAATTACAACATTTATTGAATAACGGACTGGAACATCTCCCTGTCTAGATTTTCACATTTTCACTGTTACCTTTGATTTTTCTCACTCGCCCTTTAAGCTTCAACATTTAAAGCATCAACATCACTGACGAGTCCTAGAAGGACGGAACAGATTTCATTAGATTTTATTGAGTAGATTTAGAGGTATGTGACCTGTAAGCTGCAATAATGATTTTAGCTATACGACACTTGTTTTCTATCTATGTTTTCGCAATGTATAACTGTACGTATAATCGGTCATATGTATTTATGAATTATACTGAACATGTTTGTTATTATGGACATTCTGTTGTACGTTAACAAGGTTGTATGTATATACGTATACTGAGACGTTTGTAATGTTGCGTTGCCACTTAACCGTATGTATCACAATGTAGGTTGCCTTGAACTAAGCGTTTCTGTGTTAAATATATATAGACCTAAATCTCATTTACCCGATTTATGTACAAATTTTCATTATATTGAAGAAAAACATACCGTAAATTTCACATTTTCAAATGCAGAATATTTTATTTCAGCCAAGTCATATTTTCGCCATTTACGAACTAGAAAGTAAAACAACATTATGTAACTCTCTTACGAGTCATTGACAACGGGTTATTATGCAACACGTAATAGCTTACTTATCAGTGGTTCCTAATAGTTACACCTGTGGCATTGAACAACACGAGAGAGTAAAGGACTTAATTACTATGAATTTGTCTTTTAAACTAAAGAACTCTTTTGTACATCATTTCCTTTAAAGACCACGACGCGACACCGGTAATGTATAGACGTTCTAAAATACGTTACACATAGATCGGAAACGTGATTGGCAACGGTTACACAATACGAAATGTTCTATATAAAATGCATATCGGAGACCAGGAGTACTTCACAAGAAATATATGAAGTATTCCAACAGAAGTTACTAGTTCATCTATATGAATCCGGTGACAAGAAAAAGTTAAAGATTGTACAAAAGACACACAAGTGAATAGCACCTTTTCATAATTTAGAGCGAGATAAAGTCGCGCCAAACAATGAATTAAACTGCAACAAACAGCTGTTTCGTCCTTCTAGGTCTCGTCAGTTAAATTGAGAGAAACACACAAGGAAGGGGATTAAAAGAAAGCAAACTACCAAATGATTTTCAGAAATATTTCCATTGGATTAAAACTATATTATTTCGGGGTAATATGAGACAGGAATACAGGCCAAATTTACTTATAGATGATACGTATCTATAATAAGTATATAAGTATAATAAATATGTAAGTATTTTATAATGAGAATTGATACCTGTGCTAATGAGGTAACCAAATGGTTGACACCTGTACAGGTGTGCACCACTACTGTGATCATTCAACCATGTATCAATTACTACACGGCAATGCCTTACAACTCTAGATATACACCGAACTTAGAGATATATCTTGCAAGCTTACACAATATATTTGTTCTATAATAATTTTTAATCATTTTTATCTTAATAGTAGGTAATGTTCTGATCAAGAAATGAAATATTTGTTTTACTTTAATTAGATATAATGTTGATCACGATTACATGCAGGTGATAAAATATTTTACACTTGTATTGCATTTGTAATGTCACGTGATCCAACTATATGTTGTCGATGTTCACCTATAAGTTATAATCGCTCTATTGTATCCAAACAAACTGCTGATTTCTTATATATAAAATCTGTTATTATCACCTCCACATTAGGACGTACCGTAAGAACACGGGATGACCTTCGATGTCATTCACATTATACATATTATATATATTTATCATAAATAAATATTCGTGTTAAGTACAGAGAATGGTGATAAATCTGCCGCTCCTCCGTATCATTTAAATCTTACCTTGCCCTCGAACAAATCGAAGGAGACTACCAGTGTAACCAAAGACGCGAAGCAAGGGCAAAGTGATGAGAAACGGCCGAGCACAGACAGGGTCAACAGAACCACATCGTACATTAGAGAGCAAATGTAAGCATGGCCATCGGTCCGTTATTGATAACAAACATAAATTTACTGTAGGCGAGGAATGAGCGACGTTACTATCAATGAAAGGAAAGTTCATATAGGGTAAAAACCTATCACAGCCTTTATCATGGAGGTTAGGGAAAATCGTCGTAATGGCATCAGTTACTCTCATCATACTTGCGCAAGCGACCTACTATATTGGATATTATGGTAGAAATTCTTCCCTTAAATAGACCCCCCCTTTGAAGCCATCAACACCTTCTGATAAACAATCACATTCTTCACCTCACAAAAATATAAAAATCTGAAAAATTGTCAATCAATTAGTTATATTTCCTCGTCTGTGAATACAAACAAACGGTTTAAATTTGGGACAAAAAGGCTCCACTGATTTGCCGATATTCCTACTGAAAATCTTGATTGGTTTTGATGGACATATCCAAGTTGGTTCTATCTGTTTGGTTGTGTGTCAAAATCCGTTATAAGTACAATATATATAATACAAAGATACGTATCTATATATAATCAAATATGAACTTTGTAGTAACTTTAGTCTATGAATCAACCACGTATCTATCGTTCCGCCATTTTAAATGGCTATGTGTATATATTCCTTGAAGGATTTTAAAGGCGTCTATTCCACTCGTTTGAAACTCAGGAACGTCGTTCAATAAATGCGAAAAAAATAGAATTTTTAATAAAAGAAAGGGAAAAATGTAAAAATATCCGGAAAATTCTGTAAATAGTTCCGCTGGAGACAAATTTCACAAATTGACTGATAATCTTTTAACTAGAATTATTACCCTGTAATTAAGAAGAAGTCGACACATTAAAGTGTACACCTTATGTACAAAACAATTGTCGCATGAAGCTAGTTGTCTTTGGCATAACAGATTTGTCGTATTATTCATCGGTCGTGAAATTCTCTCATCCACCACTCCACAAGAGTAATACGCCTTTACAGATAATGTCACAAAGTCAAATAAATAGTGCTGTCGTAGAATCGTTTGTTTCATACGGTTTTTTTCATATTGGGGACCATTCGATTAAAGCATTTTGACCTTGGTAGTATAAAGCTTTATACACTTATCTTTTTAAGCAAATATTTAAGAACAGGTCGTACAGAGGATTGTTCACACAAAATGAAATAGTAGAATATCAACTATATTTAGTTCTCACAAATGTTTCCCCGATTTTGTTTATTTCACAATTCAAGATAATCTGGTTCAGCTCTGTCAACACCATATAGAGTCTTTGTAACATATCTATCCAGTGTTCCCACTACAATCATCCTGTTATCTAGTTGATCTCAGTAATACAATACAACGCCGCAAATAACCCATACATTGATATAGATAGAGAGGCGCATTAACACCATACGGTAATAGAGATGGAGAGGCGCACTAACACCATACGGTAATATAGATGGAGAGGCGCACTAAAACCATACGGTAATATAGATGGAGAGGCGCACTAACACCATACGGTAATATAGATGGAGATGCGTACCAACACCATACGGTAATAGAGATGGAGAGGCGCACTAACACCATACGGTAATATAGATGGAGAGGCGCACTAAAACCATACGGTAATATAGATGGAGAGGCGCACTAACACCATACGGTAATATAGATGGAGATGCGTACCAACACCATACGGTAATAGAGATGGAGAGGCGCACTAACACCATACGGTAATATAAATGGAGAGGCGCACTAACACCATACGGTAATATAGATGGAGAGGCGCACTAACACCATACGGTGATAGAGATGGAGAGGCGCACTAACACCATACGGTAATATAAATGGAGAGGCGCACTAACACCATACGGTATTATAGCTGGAGAGGCGTACTAACACCATACGTTTCACTGTAAATAACAAATCAATGTTGATTGTTTAGAAAGTGCAGAAAATGTAATCACATTCGGAATATACACGTGATGCACGAAAAGATCGTGTCTTTTTTTTTTTTTTACTTTATGTTATTAAAGTTTAAGTAAGAAAATGATGAAGAATCATTTTACTTCACCAGTCAAAATTAAAACATGGCGACATTATTCGATACTTTAACTTACTAAAAAAATTATCGATTTATATACTTCAAATATGTTAAATTTTAATCGCCTTATTTTGATATACAGGGAAGAATCTTCAACTATGCTTGAATTGATATTACATAAAAAAAAAAACATGTATTTTCGTTCGTTTGTTTGTTTTTTCACTCCTACTTTCAGAAAATTACATGCCCTACTTCTGTGAATATCTCACTGGTTATATAACAATCCTTGATATTTGTACTGCTGCATTGTATATGGTGTTTCAAGTATATGTGTAAAGTCATTGGGACGATATAATACACTTCTTTCTTAGTTTTAATTAAAACTAACAATAATCTAAAAAAATTAAAAAGCATTGAAGAAATAATAATATCCTTCTATAACACTGTAAGCCCCCACACTTAAATACAGTACCGTATAAATAGTTTTAAAACATTAAGCGTTAAAGCGTTTCGGTATATAAATGAGAGACAATACAAATTATCCATTCACCATATATCTATATATATACTTCAGTATAAATACTGTATCTTTTACAGATAATCCATTCACCATATATCTATATATACTTCTGTATAAATACTGCATCCTTTACCATGGCAAATTAGTGACATGGTGCCCAGACGGTTACAATAGATAGTGAAGAACAAAGTGATGACAACTGTATAAAACCACGTGCTGTGTTTCTAGACACACGACAGCCATGTTTTACCTGACTTTTCCGGTGGAACTGTTTCTCCTTTTTCTTTGGTTTAGTATTTCCCTAAACAAGACATCATAAACAAATTAATATCATATCGTTACAAAAGCCACTTAACGTGGGGGAATGTAGTTAACATAATGTCACATACAGGCGGGCGGTTAACATTAGGTCTTCTGCAGGGGGAATGTAGTTAACATAATGTCACATACAGGCGGGCGGTTAACATTAGGTCTTCTACAGGAGAGATGTAGTTAACATTATGTCACATACAGACGGGCGGTTAACATTAGGTCTTCTGCAGGAAAATATAAGTAACCTGTGTTGATAGTCATCAAAGATATGTACTGAAAAAATTACAAAGGGAGGAGGTTATATCAATTTACAAGAGAAGAGAGAAAGTCTCCATGTCACCTAGACACAGAGAGGAGGGTCATCTCGATTTACAAGAGCAGAGAAAAGGTATCCATGTCACCTAGACACAGAGACGAGGGTCATCTCGATTTATAAGAGCAGAGAAAAGGTATCCATCCATCTAGACACAGAGAGGAGGGTCATCTCGATTTACAAGAGCAGAGAAAAAGTATCCATGTCACCTAGACACAGAAAGGAGGGTCATCTCGATTTACAAGAGCAGAGAGAAAGTCTCCATGTAACCTAGACACAGAGACGAGGGTCATCTCGATTTACAAGAGCAGAGAAAAAGTATCCATGTCACCTAGACACAGAGAGGAGGGTCATCTCGATTTACAAGAGCAGAGAGAAAGTCTCCATGTAACCTAGACATCTCCATTTACAGAACAGAGAAAGTGTTGATTCATGCTACATGCCGAGTCTTACAGAGGGAGAAGGTCATCTTGATTCACAGAACAGATAGAAAGCCCCTATGGCACACAGATATTGAGTTTTTCGTGGATAACTATGTCATCTCGTGGTTTTAGGAATAGTAGACAAACTATTTACGGGTCAGTCTTGGCATTAGGTCAGTGAAAATTATCAGCCCTACAAAACATACAGAATATAAATAATGTACGTGGAAAGAGTTGAGTTATGCACAACATTAATATTTAACAACTGAAAGTATAGCACGTCTGAAATATCTCCGTTCTATCTTACCAATAACCACATGTTATCAATTCGTTAGCGAGGTATATAGCTGTTCTATCTTACCAATAACCACGTATTATCTACCCGTTAGCGAGGTATATAGCTGTTCTATCTTACCAATAACCACGTATTATCTACCCGTTAGCGAGGTATATAGCTGTTCTATCTTACCAATAACCACGTGTCATCTACCCGTTAGCGAGGTATATAGCTGTTCTATGTAAATTGCAGTTTATTCCACTGCACCTACCTCGCAAAAGTCGTACCAAACACCTAGCCATACTTTTGTCAAATTAAAGCTTTTATCGAGAGTGGTATGTTTTTTGTTATCATAATTTATACAAACTATTTTTAAATGTTATTTAATGATCTGCTAAGCGAATTCTTACAAAGTTTACAACAAATGTATCATTCTCATAAGTTGTGAAAAATATCTTTAATGCCTGTATTGAATATATCTTATTAAGATTTGAGAAATTAACCAATCGATATTTGAGGATTTCGTATAAAAATTATAGCATTTGTCATGGAAACCACAAAAATATGAGAAATCGACTATTTTGTAAGCAAACATGAATACAGTAGTATTGGGAACAAGTTATGAATATATATATTTTAATAATACCATAACCTGCAAGCTGGATATAAACCGCACAGAATATTGATACTTTTCGTGAACAACGATATATATAAATCATGTGGACGTATATGTAAAGCATATGTGAAAGATGATAGGAAAAGCCATGCTACACAATGATGCTGAACACATACGGTGAGGTGAATGTGCGATATATGGTATATAACAACACTTCTGTGTGAGGATTCCGAATCTAAACGATTCCCTAAAACTTCTAGATAAGGAATGGCCAAACATAGCGCTTAAATAAAAACAAGTGTGAAAATGTGCTAGATACAATGATGGCATTTAGGTAAAGACTTACAGGAATCAACATTGACTTATAGAACAGCTGAGGAATGACCTAAAACCTATTATCATAGTCAACATCTTGTGTCTATTTCCAATTAAGAATTCCAGTGACATAACTACTTTACGTATATGCACGTTTAAAAAAAAGATACGACTGTCGAGGAAAGTTCTAGATACAGGGTGTCACAACAGCAGACATACCTCTTAACATAGAATAAACACCTCATGCTTCTTCACGACAACGGAACAACAAAAGGTCGCATCAATGGCGATCTGAGCAGTTCCTGAAGACTTCCCTGATTAACAAAATAGACTTTATTCATTCTAATAGGCAATGGAAGACCTGTTTAACCCTTTCTGATAGACAAGGAATGATTGACATACAATTCTTGCCAGAGTAAAACCATCTTTTTCCCGAAAGACGAACGATGACCAACCTAACACTTCCTCGTAGAAATAGTTGGTCCAACCTACACTTGTTGACAAACGCGGACCATTCTACATTTGCTGACAAAGGCGGACCATTCTACATTTGCTGACAAAGGCGGACCATTCTACATTTGCCGATAAACGAGCACCATTCTACATTTGCTGACAAAGGCGGATTCTACATTTGCTGACAAAGGCGGACCATTCTACATTTGCCGATAAACGAGCACCATTCTACATTTGCTGACAAAGGCGGACCAACCTTCGCTTCCTACCAAAAATAACAGATGATCAACGTTATAGAAAGATGAAGAATGTAAACTTTGTGAAAAAAACAAAGGATGAGCGCCACAGGAACATTAGAAATAACCTAGTTTCATGCTAACTACCAGGTACTAGACAGGAAAACAACAGCTTTTACACGCTAATGTGTCTCCAGTTTCCGTCGGAAACCCACAGAGCCACAAACGACAGAGCAGTCTCGTTTGTTCCCGACGATGCGAAGACGGGCGATCTAGATGCACTTTGTCTCTGACGTTCAGAATACACTTTGAACATGCGCACTAGTATGTGTGTACACAGCACAATGTGTACATGTGTAATATGGTGTCATAAGTGATGCACACAATTTCTCCGTGTTTGTGTTATGGTGTAACACGTTCTGCTGAACATTACCCGCACTACAACAGTAAGTGCGGACGAAATTGAAGTATGATTGTTCTTTTATACCAAATCAATATTGTCTTTTTTTTTAAATCACAGAAATGACGTATTTCTCTGAAAATGAGAAACATAGCAACAAAAGCATTGATAAGATATAATAGCCTTGTTCCACAGCACAAGAACGTGTGTACAATGTAAGTATATTGTTTTTACCTTGATTGTCAGCTTGGGCAACTGCTGTAAAGGGACCAAGTAGATATACATGTTAATTCTATATTGTTTAATGCCAGTGAAAATAAATCATTTGTAAGTCAAACAAATCCCAGTGATCTGTTAATTAATTTTAAAATCTTAATTGAATGCATTTCTTCAGTATAGTTATTTCTGACATGTGTTTACTCTCTATTTAGGCATCAATAGTAAATAGCAGAAAATTAACATTTTAACAAGTTTTACGTACAATTGTGTTGTCTAGCCTTCGGTGTCGTTACAATTCAGCACATTTACCATCTGTCATTACATGGAGGGCAGTGATTTTTGTCTTATTGAGTTTTCCCATCCGTCATTACATGGAGGGCAGTAATGTTTTGCTTGTGTTATGGAGCTGTACGATGCGTCGTTATTGTGAGGGTAGTGATTTTTTGTTTCGTCATATGAGTTCGGGGTTGGACAATAAAACTACCGAGATGACGGATCTCGTTGGGTTTCTTTTTAAAATATTATCTATAAAATGTCAAAGGTAAATTATACATTTTCCCCTATTATCAAAATTGGTTTTTAAATATCAGTTTTCGATTCTGTGAAGATACGTGTTTAGAATATTTGTTTACTACGTGTTGGTGAATATATCAGTTTTTTTTGACGTGATGATGGCGTATAATTAAGTTGTTATACCTAATTTAGTTATTATAAAAACACGGAAGTAACTCCCCAATACAAAATTAACAACACGTAAAAACTCATTATAATCAGCCGTAGACAGTAATCGATTTGTGTCTGTCAGAAAGACGCAAAAACTGGGTATTCAAGTTAACCAAAATGTGTAATGAACATAGAGTTTTTTTAATCTTTTTTTGTAATATTAACACTGTGAAAGTAGGATTAATATCACTACCAATACACTGTACTAAGCCCTACAAATGATAAGCGTATATACAAAGTAATTTTCGTACCCCGTATAAAAACCTATTAAACTTATTACGATCAAAGCGATGTCACCGTGAACGGAAATATGTTGGTACGGGTTGGGGATAAGTTGGTGCGACCACAGGGGTCGGAACAAGAATATTTTTGTTGTATAATGTAGAACAGTTGTACGTGATTTGACAGTTCTTACATGTGTTCGCACAAGCGCCTGTGGTAGCATTTCTTTGTATCAGTTCTTCTTTTGATTAATAGGGTATCATATAACAACCATATGACGACGCGAGACAGAACGTGGAACGGGGAGGGTCATGTGAGTAATTGTTGGGGGGTCAGAACGTGACGCAAGGGACATATCGGTGTAACACGTTTCGTCTTACAGCCGAATATGTACTGAAAATGTCCTATCCCAAAAAAAATAGCAACAGCCGCCCAATGGAAAGCGAACTTCATTACAATACAGATACAGAATTCAAGTAAATTCGATTCTTTGAGTATAAGATAGCTTATATGATAAATAAATGTATCCGGAATACGGACTGTTTCTTATTATGTCCGTTTTTTTATTCATTTGTAACTAAAAACATAATAAGAAATGAAAGTATGTTTTTGAGGTAAATTTCTTGTGCGACACACTGAAATCGAGAAACGTTAATTCATAAGATTTTTTTTTCGTAACTCGATACAAAGGAACATCGGACATTCCAGAATACTTGTTGTTAACGATCGTATTGACACGCTGAACTGATTCCGTGTATATCTTTATATACAAGTCTATGTACATATATCATACAGTATACAATATAGCTGAGTATATGAAACCGCCGGAAATTAAAAAAAAAAAAAAACCGATATTTTTGTATAAATTACAGCAACTGGACAATAATATTCTGATAAAATGGAAAAACAGCAACATTCATTGAACAAATGATTGATGAAAGTACAAAAGTGCGTTTTTTTCAAAGTTGGGAATGTCAGGGTATATATATAAACAAAATTTGAAAAAATCATATATTTACCGGTATATATAAATATTTATATATGTGAAAATATATCACTTACCATACTATTGAATTCTGGTGACCATTGATCTAAGTCCCTGGGGCCACAGAAATCTTTATGGGTCGTGGAATTGTACTTGTCCCAGCTCCGCTTCGACCCCGCTGACTGGGGCAGAAGATGCGCACTATTGTCTTGAAGCAGCCGGATTTGATGCGCCAGCCAGTTCCCCGGGGGGACGGGGGACGGGATTTCAAAAGTGGTGTTAGATCTCTGCATTACATCCAGCGCCATTTTGAATTTCGTCAAGCGTCTCTAAGAACGTGCCGACAGATTAACAATAAATTATTATTTTTTGTAATAATTTCCAGACGCCGGACTATTATCACCGTCGCTGTTTACTCCATCAGGTATATATCGCTGAGACGGGCTGACACAGTCAGACACTGGCGACACCCCACGGGGGTGACATCTGCTCCCGAGACTTTCTTCCCTCTGTGATGGTAGATCGAGTGTCGGGGACAGACCTATTCCAATACTTCTGTCATTACGTATCCCTTGTTTCAAAAACGGGACTGTTTAAACGTCAGTTTTATTCTGAAGATTTTAATCACCCACTGGGGCTAATATGGGGCAATTTGAAATTTAAATTACAGATAAGCTTTTAATCTTGAACAATTTACTTTTAAACTTTATTCCATTTAAATATAACATTGTGCTAATCATTCTTGTGGCCATTTTCTTGAGTAGGTGTTAAGTAATCAATAATCAAATATTTGATTGATTTTTAACTATTTTTAAATAACTGGCCTCTTTTTATGTAGCATTTTCAATAATTCAACTACTTCACATAGATTAGAGGTAGATCTACCGATTACAGCGGGTCGGTCGACTGCCCCCATACTACAATAATACCTAAGCCTTAGTTTCAGGAGACAATGCCACCTGACTAATTAACATAAGATACAGTTCATACGAACAGCCATGCAATACACAACGCGACCCACACTGTATCTAAGCACGCGCTTCCATGCCAACTCAATGCTGAGCCAATAGTTACTGATAGGGGGCGTGGCAGGTTCGACTCCAACTGGTTTCATTTGAATTGGTATCAACATGGTTGACGCATGATCTCTGGTTTAGTGTGTGGACAATTTAAATGCCTACTGTTTTATACCCGGCTTTGTTATAACGATTAACAAGTATATGAACTTAGGACCTTGCCGTGTAACCTCAACCCAGAGTCACTGGTTAAAATCTACTTATGTTGTCTGTTAAATCCAGGCTACCTAATACACATGTAAATGTATATACAAAAGCGTTTATCATAAAGACTGCAATTTCATTTGAACAATACGAAATGAGTTTAACACGGAAACACATAGGAGTGTGAGACATCGTAATAGCGGTATATGTATCGGAGCTGCGTTCGTGTCCAGATACTCTATCTGTATAGCTTGCTACGTAAGAAATATCACCGCAAACACGAATTAACTGTATCTTTTTAGTTGACATTATATTTTCTCGTCGTAACGTTGAGCTAGATACTTTTGTAACGTGAACTCTATCATGGTTGACGTTTTAGGGGGAGAGGGACACACTTGAATGAGCACTGGTGTCACTGGAATCAGGTACACTTGAATGAGCGCTGCTACGTTGTTGGGGACAGGTACAATTAGATGAGCGCTGCTACGTTGTTTGGGACAGGTACACTTGAATGAGCGCTGCTACGTTGTTGGGGACAGGTACAATTGAATGAGCGCTGTAACGTTATTGGGGACAGGTACACTTGAATGAGCGCTGTAACGTTGTTGGGGACAGGTATACTTGAATGAGCGCTGTAACGTTGTTGGGGGACAGGTATATTTGAATGGGCGCTGTAACGTTGTTGGGGGACAGTTACACTTGAATGGGCACTGTAACGTTGTTGGGGACAGTTACACTTGAATGAACGCTGTAACGTTATTGGGGACAGTTACACTTGAATGGGCACTGTAACGTTGTTTGGGACAGGTACACTTGAATGAGCGCTGTAACGTTGTTGGGGACAGGTATACTTGAATGAGCGCTGTAACGTTGTTGGGGACAGGTATACTTGAATGGGCGCTGTAACGTTGTTGGGGGACAGTTACAGTTGAATGAACGCTGTAACGGTATTGGGGACAGGTACATTTGAATGAGCGCTGTAACGTTGTTGGGGACAGGTACGCTTAAATGAACGCTGTAACGTTGTTGGGGACAGTTACACTTGAATGAACGCTGTAACGTTGTTGGGGGACAGTTACACTTGAATGGGCACTGTAACGTTATTGGGGACATTTACACTTGAATGAACGCTGTAACGTTGTTGGGGGACAGTTACACTTGAATGGGCACTGTAACGTTGTTGGGGACAGGTACAATTAGATGAGCGCTGTAACGTTGTTTGGGACAGGTACACTTGAATGAGCGCTGTAACATTGTTTGGGACAGGTACACTTGAATGGGCACTGTAACGTTGTTGGGGACAGGTATACTTGAATGAGCGCTGTAACGTTGTTGGGGGACAGGTACGCTTGAATGAGCGCTGTAACGTTGTTGGGGGACAGGTACAATTAGATGAGCGCTGTAACGTTGTTGGGGGACAGTTACACTTGAATGGGCACTGTAACGTTGTTGGGGACAGTTACACTTGAATGAAAGCTGTAACGTTGTTGGGAACAGTTACACTTGAATGAACGCTGTAACGTTATTGGGCACAGTTACACCTGAATGAACGCTGTAACGTTGTTTGACACTATTTTCATTGGGACATAAGTACTTAGTAATTGAGAGATTTTTGTAAAGGTCATTATGTCAAATATTGCAAAAATCAGTCACATTTGCTTTACACTATTCTAACGTTTCTCATGAAAGGACAAAAACACAGATTAACTTTGAAAAATATTTTATATAACAATCGGCAAGACCATAAAGACATAGGCAATCAGCTAAGTAGCCATTTAAGTGACAGACACATCTACATCAGTTCTGGATACATGCATCAGCAACAAGACATGTGAAACCATTATAAATGTATTGTTAGGTTAATGTACTAGCCATTTTAACTACTTCATTATAAACTCATAGCTTTAAATACCTTAACTGTCATAAATAAGGAGGACTGTTGGCACGATAAGTAGAATCTATTTTTCTTTAAGGTATAACAATAATATCAACAACATAAATGCTTCACTACACTAGGCTGGAAATCACAAAGAAAGGAGGAGAGATCCCACAGGGATTTTGGCACCCACCATTGTTTAATCTGTATTTGCTCTGTGAAACTTTTCCCTTCTTTTTGCTTTCTTCTCTTTTTGCTCTTAATGATTAGAAATTTGAACATTCCTGTGCAGAAAAATGACCTTAATCTTTAACTCTCAAATCCAACATGATCACCTGAAAATCCCGACTAGAGACCAAAGGGAACTTTGTATGAAATTTAAGAGCAATCCATTCATTACTTCACTCTGCAAATCCAAGATGGCTGCATTTCAGCCAATTCTTTTTTTCTGATCAGTCCCAAACTCAAACAGGCACAACTAGGGACCAAGAGGAGCCTTTACATGAAATTTGAGAAAGAACTATGCAGTTTTTCTAAGAAATAGCAATAACAAACTTTCAAAGTCAAAATCAAAGATGGTTGTCTAATGGCCATTTAATTTTTTTGATCAGTGCCGAAATCAAACAAGCATAACTAAAGATCAAGGGAAACCTACACATCAAATTTGAGAAAGATCTATGTCGTAGATCTCAAAAAATTAGGATAACAAACTTTCAAAGTGAAAATCCAAGATGGCCGCCTGTTAGCCATTTTGTTTTTCTGATCAACTCAAAATCGAATGGGAGGAAACAGGGACCAAGGGCCCCTACACTTGAAATTTGAGAAAGATCCATTCAACACTTCTCAAGAAATAGCAATAACAATAAAGATAAAAAATCCAAGTTGGCCACCAGTCGTCAATTTTTCTGATCAATTCCAAAATCAAAAGCAAGCGCATGACTAGGGACCAAGGGGAATAAACATGTGAAATTTGATCCAGAAGTTTTCAAGAATCAGCAATAAGATAAAAAATGTTTATGGATAGAGAGATGATAGACCGCAGACAATTGGCGATTTGAGTGACCCACCATCTGATGGTGGTGAGCTAAAGATGCTTAACTACACTACACCGTAAATCACAAAGAAAAGAAAATATACATTCAACACTACAAAAAGGCAACTGAGGACACATCAATGTGAATACTATCCTAAACTTCAGTTAAACCAGGTGATTTAGAAAGTTAGAATTCCTGGTACCATACCAATCAAGATGTCCCCTACCAAATCTAGGAAAGTATGTTGGTCACCGGTGCAACACATAGTGATGTCATATACACAGGTAAAATTCAGGTTGTCATGAGCCAATAATTTTTTTAAAGAGGATTGAAATTTTCTTGCTCTGGCTAGAAACCCTTGCTAAAGAGTTCATAAGTCAACAAAACCCAAATAGCTGAAAGAAGAAACATAAAAATGTTCTGGAAAAAAGAACATAAAAGAGAGGCTATAATGTTTCTACCAAGGAAAGGAAAATTAACATTCTTGAAATTTGTCAAATTTATCCTAGAATTTGATAGAAAGTTAGTTAAGATCTATTGGTTCCTTAATCAGTACCGAATCAGTAACAAACAACAAAACAATTGGGACTAAAATCAATGGCACAGTAGATCACTAGGCAACTCCTAGTGGTAAATTCTTCAAAAATTTCAACTTTTTTGGCAAACAAACTATTGTATCACCTAACAAGCAGTATAAAACAAAAAACATGAGATTAGTAAGAGCACCTAGCAGCAAAAAGCAAATATCTGCCATAAAATAGAATGATATATATATATAATGTCAGTATTATGCATACAAATATTAATACATTTTACATACGATTGAATTTTTATTGCAACAAAAATCTCTTGCACTATACATTGGCAGGCTTGGAGGCAGTAGAGTTGTATGTTGAGCAACATGTTCCTGACATAAGGCACACATTTAGTATTGTCTTCAGCATAGTCCCCTTAACTAGTGTCTACAAACCAACAAAGGTTCAATTTCCTGACACAAGACACACCAATATTGTCAGCAATGTCCTCTAAACCAGTGTCTACAAACCAACAAAGGTCAGTTCAATTTTTGAGTGAAATAAAACCAGGTTAACAGTCCCTAAGTTGGAAATTCTTTACAAGTATGGAGAATTCAGTAAAGGACATGAAAGCTGTTAAATCTATGGTAGGACAATCACCTA